CTTGAGGGAAAAAAAAGTGACTCTTCTTACTGTTAAAGAATGTCAGAAAACAGAGATCCATCTTGAGTGTAAGGACACTGACACCCATATTCATAAGTTCAAGTTCAGGACAGTGATACAAGCTGAGATAACATCATCACTTCAGCAAGAGGTTTGGATGTGTCACTGAACCTCCCAGACAAATAGATACATATAGTGATTCACCCATCTCACAGAATATGTCTTTGACTTGTGATGGCTGAGAACATTGCCATTAAAGGGTCTTGTTGTTCAGCTCCTCCATGACTTTGAAAATCTTCCCCCAAATCCCTGTTCTGACAGTGACCCATCTCCAGCAAAACCACATGTATCCAGGACTGAGGAATCTTTTCACACCCCTGATGTATCTACGTGATGCTTCATGTCCTTATACCAAAATAACAATACATTCCAGAAAGATCTTTTCCTCTCTGTGGCATATAGAATCACAGAATCATAGAATCATTTAGGTTGGAAAAGACCTTCAAGATCATCAAGTCCAACCATCATCCATGCCCACTAAACCATGTTCTGGAGTACCTCGTCTACGTGGTTTTTGAATATCTCCAGGGATGGTGACTCAACCACTTCCCTGAGCAGCCTGTTCCAATGTCTGACAACCTTCTCAGTAAAGAAATTTTTCCTAATATCCAACCTAAATCCCCCCTGCCACAACTTGAGGCCGTCTCCTCTCGTCCTATCACCAGCCACCTGACAGAAGAGACCAGCACCCACCTCACTACAACCCCCCTTCAGGTAGTCATAGAGAGCAATAAGGTCTCCCCTCAGCCTCCTCTTTTCCAGACTAAACAGCCCCAGCTCATTCAGCCACTCCTCATAAGACTTATGCTCCAGGCCCCTCACCAACTTGGTTGGATTCAGTAGATTTTGCATTGACTGCAGACTTCATCACAACTTGTTACAAAACTGCTGAAATGATCCATAAAAAGTGGTACAAGTTTGTTCCCAGGCAATCTCTAACAGCATCTCTAAAAATATCTCTGCTCCCACAGTCAAGCAGCTACCCAGAAACTTTTGCCAATCACTGAATGTTTTCCAAGTGTTATTGCCCATCTCCATATTCCCAGGCTATCCTCTTCTTCCTGGGGTTGAAAAAACAGAGGGTGGGAAGGCATGCTCCACCTACTTATATCCTAGCTGTGCAAGATGGGAGTTTGGAAATGTCCTATATAGCCCTGATCTGACCACTGTGTTGAACACAAATTGCCGTGTGCAGAGATAGATAATTCATCTCAAAGACAATTCCTGACAATTAACTTCCTTTTATTCTTGCCTCACATATTTAGTGAATTCAAAAGACTAACTTATTTCATATAATGCTTAATTCAATGTGCATATTAAAATGCTGGTTTGCAGGAACATTTTTTAAAAGTGGCCAGAATTTTGAATGTCTCTGAGCAGTTGAAACTTTAAATTACTGGTGTAATTACAGTACAGTATACAGCAGTGTAATGTGTATCAGTAGGGAAGAATATAATGCAGTAAATCAAACTAAAGTCTTTCAGGAAATCGTCCATGTGCAGAAAAGGCACTTCACAACATGCTTGAAGGACTTAATTGTTTTCTTTACCTGGGATCCCAAACGTCCTGATTCTATCCAATGGCAGTGATAATGCTATTAGCTTTTTACCTGCTTGCACCAGAAAATGTCTAATGATGGTGTAAAAAGTCAGATCTTTGCATTGAAAGTACAGTCTGTATATTTTAAAAGGCCACAGTTGAGACAATTTATTTTATACTCCAGGCTACAAGATGCCATGCCAGAATGTAAGCATTTACAGCTCCCATGGACCATGTTGTTTACGCCAGCAGAGGTTCTGGCCCAGTGTTTCTGACCACAGTTGAGTTTCACCTTCACCAACAAGATTCAAAACGAAGCATTTATCACTAGAGAAGATGCTGACACAGAACTAGAAATCACTGTAAATGAACAATCCTCCTATCAGATTAAAACCCTAGGTTTCATAAGAATAAAAACAAAACTCAGCCTGATGTATGATGCAACATAATTGCCCAAAACATTCAGTCCTGCCTGTGAAAGAAGGAAAAGATTAACACAAACCACATTTGGGGTAGATGGTGATCATTTAAGAAAAATATATCTTACCACATTTAATTCCACTTATTTCCATTTGCAACACAGGTGTCAAATTATTTCCTCTGAGTAACATAAGGCAAGCCAAACAGCAGCCCTGACTGCAAATTACTGGACTAACAGGATCAACAAGATCAACTAAGTGATCAACAGGGCTATTACAACTGTCTTCAGGTCACCCACAAGGACAGTGGCTACCCCACCATCCATGTCACCATTGCAGCTAGGGCTGGTGGAAAATACAGGAGGGACTTGTACCCACTGACTGATACCATAGAGAAATGGGACTCTGTCTGTCCATAAGGCTATTTCTTTACACTTCTGAGGTATCTTTCCATGCATCCGGAGTTTGCAAAAGGTTCTGAAGGGGAGATAAGGTATATAGGCAAGCATGCTATCATCACTTTCCAAACCTACAAAAAATCTTTGGGAAAGCCAATCATCTTAGAAGGACAGTTCACACAATACTGAATACAGCAACTAAACTGTTACTATAGTAATGATATTTTGTGCCAACAGAGAAAAATTAATTGCAATTGCAAATAAATTGTTTTGTTCTTCTGTGGAACTTCAGATATGTGGAAATAGTTTTACATTGAGTCTATAAATAGTCTGTGAAATACAAGAGCTCTTGCTTATTTGAAGAGTTACGATACATGTCATATGTAACTGAGGCCTGAGACAGGATTGGTTTTGAAGGGGAGGGTGTTGTTCTACAAGTTCTGGCAATAAACCAGGAATCGCTTCAGGCTATCGGATTTCGGAATGAGAATGTCACAAGAGGCTTTCTGTTGGCTGGGGGAAGGGGGGGAAGAGTTGAGCGTCTACTCCTGGAATGTCTGTTTAGCAGCAGAACACTAATGATCTTACAGGGCACAGACGATATGCTAAAACAAGAGAAAAAAAAACAATTATTTTTGTAGTCCCTCTAGTTGGAGCCTGCTTACACTTAACCTTTTGTGGCCAAACACAGATTTTTTTGAGGGTACTGAAGCAGGGATATCCACACAAACTGAAAATCTACCAATTATACATGATTCTCAAACTATAATCTTACATCAATGTTAAGAACAAACACACCAACCATAATCTGAAGAGAAAGCAAAAGAGACAAATTGTAATGCTGAAGTACTTTTTTTCATAATAAAAAAACTGTGAAACTTGTTGCCCAGATGTCAGTTGTCCTGATACATTAAGAAGGGTTTGAATATGGATGAACCCTGTGAAAGAAGACGGAAAGGACTGGGTCTATTAAATGTAGAGACCACCAATGGGAGAAACAGCAACACAACAAGCATCTAAGGTTGCTAGAAGGAGCATCAGCTGTAAGTAGGGACATGAAGTAATAAATTTAATCTGCAGGTTAGATAAATACCTGTCAGAAACTAATTAAGTATGGCCGATTTTGTCTTGAGGAAAGCAGAGGAAATGACCTCTGAAGTGGCCATCCAGATTTACTGTTATGTATAAAATATACCACATTCTCAGAGTCAGCAACAACAGTATTTTTGTTGGGGATATTAAGCCACCTCAGAAAGTAAACCAAACATAATCAGATACAGGTACTAAACATGTGAGAAACAGGTTATCGTCCACTATCTTCTTCCAAAGTTCTTTGTCTTTTCTCATTAGCAGCTCATGCTAGCCAGTGTTTGAAACAGGATATTGGACTAGATGCCCTACTTGTGTAGCTAATCTGCCTATTCCTCTAAGATGTAACTAAAAATATAATATAGCTCATATCCCACTCAAGCCCAAAGATAATTTAAGAAGTAAATGGGCAAAAGCATAAAGCATATGGCAGGAAGCAACTTGGGCACGCATCACTGATGTCTGGTACTTTCCTGACTAGAAACAGCCTACTTTGACACTCAGCACAGTGCAAGTTAGTGGATGTGGCACTGAAATGTGCTCCTTCTCACTCATGAGCTGGAAAAAATTAATCTGGAATGAAGAGGACATCTTAGAGCACATGACTGTGTCTCATTTACAAAAGTAATTTTTCAGGGTTACTGAATGAAGAAATGTACAAGCATAACCATGAAGGGAACCCAAAGGCTTCCCTGGATCCTGATCACATGAACGATCTATATTAAGGACCATTCCCTAGCAACCCAGCCTTCCACCAACACCTCTTCTAGGGAACTGCTCTCGGTAACAGCGTTTTGCCAACACCGCTGCTGTTGATAATATTCTCCAGCCGCCCTCGCTCCCAGGGGAGCCTTGCGAAACGCTGGGAAGGCTGCTCGCTCCTCAAGCCTGCCCGGGAGGACACCCCCGCTGCACAGCCGGCGCAGGCCCGGCCGGCTGAAGGCCGGGAGAAGCTTCCAGAGGCCTCGCCGCCGGCGGCCCGGGCAGAGGTCGGCTCGCCTCAGCTAGGGGTCCCGCGGCTGCCGCGCACCTCGCAGGTAAGAGCCGCAGGGGGCGACGGAGGCGACTGCGCTCCCGCCCCCCCTCCCCGGGAAGCGGGGCTTCTCCAGCCCGTCTTCTGTTCTTACACACCCTGCAACACACCTTGAGGGGAAAACCCTGCGGGGAGCGTTTCTCCGAGGGGAGGAGGAGGGCGAGGAGCGCCGGGCAGGCGGGGGGTGGAAACCCGCCTCCCCTCACAGACCACCGCCACCGCCCTTCCCGCCCCCCGCCAGCCGCGCGCGCCCCTCGCGCCCGGGATCCTGGCACCACTCGGCTCGTTACGGGAAGCTCCGCCCCCCCGCCGCCCCCTTTCGGCGACGTCACGCCCCCCGCGCGCCAATGGCGGCGCGAGTCGAGGAGGGAAGGGCGCGGGGTGGGGGAGTGGGGGGGGTGAGGGAGCGTGACGGGGCGTGACGGGGCGTGGGGCTGCGCGTTCGGGACGGCGGCGCGATGGCGCGGCGCGGCGGAGCCGTTATTTAGGGGCTTGTCGGCGGGGCGTGGGGCGCCGTGAGGTGGCGGCGGCGGCGCCGCAGCGGCAGGTAAGGACCGGGAGGCTGGCCGCCGCAAGCGGTTTTCCCCTTCTCTTGCGGGCCCCCCCTCGGCTTCCTCGCCGCCTCTGTGCGCCCCTCTCTC